TATACTTATTAAAAAAAATCAGTTACAGTTGCATTTTACTTGGAAGCTAGTAGATGTTCTTTGTTTTGAATATGACTGGGAATGAGAAGAAAAAGGATAAATTAAGCTATCTCCCAGTCAAAAATGACTGAATTACAAAATCAATTACCAATTCTTACCCCAAAAATTTAAAAAAAAAAAAAAAACTTTTGGGGTGTTGAGGCATTGATGAATAATGAAGTCATTTTTATCTAGCAATTCAAAATGAATGTTCATTTAATATGTTTCTGATAAAAGTTAGTAAAGAGAAGAAACAAGAGAAAAAGGTTAAAAAAAGGTTTTTAGAAGAAAGAATTGCTATTAACCTTGCTTTGATGAATAGATAAAAATAAAAAGGAAATGGGAGGGGAGAATAATATTTTTTATTTAATTAAATAATTTTTAAAAAATAGACTGTAATTTAATTGAATAAATTTTTAATTAAATTAACAAATAATATAAAAAATTTATTTATATAAGAAAAATATAAAATTAAGCTGACCCCTCCAATTTGGCAAATTGAATATGGGGTAATTGATGAGGGGGGATCGACCTCTAATTTTCAATTATATGTATTATTAAAAAACCAAACAAGGGAGAGGTCTGTTTCTTCTTCCATTTTCCTTTCTCCTCCAAACGCTCAATCCAAACTCACCCTTATGGTATGGTTTGTTTGGATAAGAGTTAATAAAGGTAATGAAAGAAAAGGGGAGGGAAAGGGAAGAAGAGGGGGATCATTAAGTGGAGATTTTTCCCAACTTTTTGAAGTAAGAGAAGTGGAAGGAAAGTTAGTTGTGTTTGGTTTATGGAGGGATCTTTCTCAATTTTTTCAAATAAATTAAGGAAATTTTGTGAATGATTAAATTAGATTGAGACATTAACTAATGTTATAATTTAATTAGTAAAAAAATTTACTCATCTTCCCTTTCCCTCTCCTCCTCTCCATTTCCCTCAAACCAACATGCTTTGAGAGATAAATAGTTTCTCACAAGCAACTCTCCAAAACAGGCTCCACCAACAATCCTAGCTCTTCATTGATTCTGTTTGTTACCTTATACTAAATATTTCTTCTCGCATTGCTAGAATTTGGGACAGAGCTTGAGTAAAATTTTAGGGGCAAAAAAATTTCAAGAATGTAAGTTTTAAAAGATAAAATTTTGAAGAATCAAGTAATTAAAAAACACAAAATAAACAAAGATTTCCATCCATATCCCTATATGCCCTTATTATATTCATTTTCTAAAAAAATTTTTTAGAAAAATGAGGGCCTTAAATTTTTTGGCTTTACT